GCATACACACACGCACACCCCTTCCTCTTTCGACGAGCGGCCGCCTGGGATATGGGTGGTGGGCGGACCCAAGGGCCCCGCCAGCATCCGCGTATCTGCGCGCAGCCGCCCTCATCTTCCCCCCTGCCTTCGCAAGAGCGCGCCTGGGGTGTGTGTTTCTCGCTGGACATTCTCCTCGTCGCTTCCCGCATTCTGCCACACATTCCCCCGGTCTGCGTCTCGGCATGTCCACCCCTGCCTGGGGAGCCTCTGATAATGAGCCAGCCTCGACCTCTTTCCCATAACACTGGCCAGAGGGGCACAGTGACAGGAGAGAGCCAGAGAGCAAGCGCGAGGGAGCGCGGCACACATCGAGGCCCGAGGAGGGGGACACATGCGTTGACGCACGGGGGAGGACAGAATGCCGGAGCTCGGGCGGAGAGGGCCGTGAACGGGCATGCACACGGCGGCATTGTGGGGTGGCAGCAGGGGGGGGGGGAGGGAGAGTATCGGGCGGCTGGACTTCTACACGTATGCACGCATGCGCACACACGCACGCATGTGCGCATGTGCGCATGCGTCGCAAAGGATAGCACACTCGCTCTCTCTGCAGGGGGAGAGGCACACGCGCGCTGCCTAGCGTACATGTGCCTTCCCCACATCCCGGGGCTCTCGTGCTGGAGCAAGGGGTGGGCGTGTATATTTCCCTCCCAGCAGGCGGGCAAACATGGCGCGGGGCGCGGGGCGCGGGGCGCGGCGAGGGGAACCACATGCGGCGAAGAAAGCGAGTCATGGCGGACCAGTGCACGTCGGGGGGAGGGGCAGGGAGGAGGGGAGAGAGAACAGACAAGCAAGCAGAGGCAGCAGCCAGGCGCGCGAGCAGACAGAGATGGGCAGGCGGGCAGGCGGGCAGGCAGCACGTAGGCGCGCGCCTCTGATAAGGGATGCGCAGAACCCGGTGCTCCCTCGCCCTCTCCCCCAGCAAGCCCATCGCGGCCAAAGGGAGGGCCATACACATGTACGTATGTGTGTGCGGGGGGGGGGGGGGGGTTGGGGGTAAAAGGACCACCTGAGTGCCATGCAACTGTTGCGCTTTTGGCCGCGCACCCTCTGCTCGCCTTGCCGTTCCCTACCGCGCGCGCTCACCACCGGCGCGCACTCACACACGCCTCCTCCCCTCTCCTGTAAATCTGCCCCGCCCTCGGGGATGGGGGCTGCCTTTGCAGGCGAGCAGAGGGAGGAGAGGGGGAAGAGAAGGAGGGAAAGTGCACGGAGCCCAGTTCCCGTCCCTTGTGTAGGGGAGGGAGCCGGATGGTGTTGCTGGCGCGGCCGAGGCCCTATGCAGGTACATGACTCGAAAAAGGCGGCAGGAAAGAGCAGGCCCTTCCCCCCTTGACCGGACGCGCGCGCGCGCGCGCGCGCGCACACACACACACACACAGTCACACACACACACACACACACACGCCCATTGTGTGATCAATAGATACGCCGCTGGCGCACGCCATGCATGGCATTCGGGGACGGACCATTGGCCGGGATGGCGCCCGGGCGGGCCCAGGCCGGGAGCGGCGGAGCCGCCGGCGGGGGGGTCCCGGCGAAGTTGCGCGAGGCCGGCGGCGGTGGCGAGGCGGCACCCAGCTCGGCCGACATGTTGGCGATGTAGGTGCGCGCGAGGGCCAGCATGTGCTGGGCATACTCCCGGGCCCAAACCGCCCAGTAGACCACGCGGTCGGCCCAGATCGGCCACGAGGCCGGCAGGAAGCGCTGCAAATCGTGGTCCTTGGCGAAGTCCACGGCCAGCGTGAGGGCCCGGGTGGCAAAGGCCCGGGCGAGGCCGATGGCCAGCAGGAAGACCCCGGCCACCCGGTCGGCCACCACCCGAGCCGTGGGCAGGACAAAGGTGGCCGCGCGCTCGCCAGCCGCCAGGGCCCGGTTGGCATAGTTGCCGGACCAGGTGACCATCGGCTCCGGGAGCATGGACCGCAAGCTGTCATGCTGGGAGCCCTTCAGCTCGTCGATGGTCCCGGCCAGGGCCAGGCCCAGGAATCCCAGCCCCGGCAGCAGGGCCAGCAGGCCGAAGTTCCGCGTCGGCAGGGCCAGCATCACAAAGCACAGGCCCAGCACCACGAGCCAGGACCGGCCACGACGGTCGGCCTCCTGCCAAGACCACGCCCCCAGCTGGGGGATGGCCGGCTGGTCGCACGGCCCGGCCGCCGGGTCAATCGGCTCCGGAGTCATCAGGTACGCCAGGCTGGAGCCGACCCAGCGGTACAGACGCCGCACGTGCGTGGTCCAGGGCTGGGAAGAAAGCCGGGCCGCGGCGGCCGGCGCCGCGGCCGCCGTTTCACGCAGCCCGCCAGCCGGCCACCAGGCCCGACCGCTGGGCGTAATCCACCCGGCGGCCTGGAGCCACTGCCGGGCGCGATTGCCCACGAGAGCCACCTCGGCCACGCCCAGGCAGACACTCAGCAGGCCGAGAGCCAGCCCGGACAGCGAGGCCCCGGCACGTAGGGCCATGCGCGTGGCCCCCAGAGCCGAGCGCAGCAGCAGCACCGCGGTGGCCATGGTATCCAGCAGGTCCAGCCACGGGTGCCCCCGGACCCCGGGGGCCATGAGGTTCGCATGAACCGACAGCGCCTCGGCCAGGGTGTACCCGCAGAAGAGCACCATCGACCGGAGGATGGGCCGGCCGTAGGAGTCGAAGAGAGCCGAGCTGGTCATCATGGCCAGGCACAGCTTCATCACGGTCGAGTAGAACCCGGCCCGCGAGGTGGCCGTCAGCTCGCCGGGCAGAACTCGCACGGCCAGATTGCCCAGCAGCTGCGGGGCGAGGGCAAGATACCCGCGCGACTGTGTGTGCGGGAGCAGGGGGGGGGGGAGCAGGGGGGATGGCAAGTGTCAGCCCCGTGCACAGTGTAGAGAGAGGGCAGGAGGCCGCCTGAGCCGTGTCGCCAAGCCGGGCACCGGAGGGGGGAGCTTCCCCCCCTCTTGCCGACACGCCCGACCCCCTATGCGCCCCACAAAAAGAGCGACGCATAGGGCGCATGCACAAGCTTGGGCTCTCCAAAAATTCATAGAAATACATCCACACACACACACACACACGCAGATGCAGGCGCGCACCATGACAGTCTCCTTGGAGGGAGAGATCCCCATGGCGGAGGACGGCTCGCTCGCCGGGGAGAGGGTGCCGGCATCCGGGGTCGAGAGCAGATCCAGTTGCGATGAGCTGCGAACCAGATCCCCGGCCTCGGCACCGGAGTAGGACACCCGAGAGACGGAGGGGTGCAGGGGCTTGCGCGCACGCAGCGGCGTCTCGGCAGCCGCACGCTGCCCGCCATGGGCCGGCGGCATGGACGCCGGCAGAGGCGAGCTGGGAGACGCCACACGACGCGGCGGTTCAACCGTGGAGGCCAAATGGTGGACATGGGTCCGGGGACTGGCGTCTCCCGGGGGCGAGGAGGGGGACTCGCTCAGGTTCTTGGCCGGGGCGGTGGCACCGGCCGGCATGTGCCGGCCGCCGGCCGCCATCCTGGGGCCAGGACTTTCGGACATCTAGTGGCGGATGAAGGGGGGAGGGGGAGGCGAGAAGAGAGGGGAGGGGGAGGGGGAGGGGGAGGGCAGGGAGACAGGGGGCGGTTCGACGCTCGGGTTGGAGACGAACACGCGAACGTACGTTCGTATTAGAGAGGGGGGGGGAGGCTGCTGCGAAGCCCCACCAGGCGTAGAAGGAGCGAGGAGGCAGGTGGACCGGCAACGGGGCCAAGAGGTGGGGGTTAGGTGACTGCCAGAGGCACCCCAGCGCAGGGTCCCAGAGTAAACACATATCGGGGCAAGTGGGACAGGCGCGCGCGGGGAGGGGCCGGGGGAGGGGGAGGGCCATCGCGTCTGAGGCGTGTTTCTCGCGCTCTCGTTCGGACTGACCCTCGGACCCTCTGGCCATCTGGCTCTCGCCAACGCGATGCGCACGTACCCAAGAAAGAGGGCGGAAGCCAGGCAGGTGAGAGATGGTATCTAGGGTGAGAAATCTGCAGTAGCTGCCTGCGTGGGGCGCCCGGAACCCATCTTGGGGGCATTTATAGGCAGGCCTGTAACTTTCGATGGAGGGAGCGCGACACCAGGCGGGCAGGTGCCATGCAGGCCTCTCCGAGGAAGCTCGCCCGGGGCACCGGGACGCGACAGGCCGATGCGAGGGGCCGGCGGCGGACCAGGCGGAGGCTGATGCCCAGGCTGACCACGGATGCATCGCTGCCCCCCCCCCCCTCCCCCCCTTGCCGGACCCGGCCTCGTCCGGGCCGCCCCGAGCGCGGCCGTCAGATGGTTCTCAATGCCAGCAGGTCTCCCCCCTCCGCCAGGGCAAACCCCCTGCCTGGCTCGAAGTCCCCCCTTCCCTTTGCCTCAGACATCCACCCAAGGAGAAGCAAAAGACCCCTCCCCCCCGCTCCCAGGGCCGACCCGCGGACAATGCTCACTGGTCTGGGATCCGGTCGCGAAAGAGGGGTGACAGCCACCACGGCGGCATCCCGCAGGAGGTATCGCGCCGACCTCCCCCCTTCAGGGGCCAGAAAGCGGCCCCGTGCAGGAGAAGAAGGAGGCTCACCTGCTGGAAACCCGGGTCCCGTTGAATGTGTGAGACCTTGCCGGATTGCGGCCCCCGCTCACAGGGTGGGGGGCGAGGCGCCGATCCCGGGAGTCCAGCGGGACACCGGGCCCGGCTCGGTTGCGGGCCTCGGGGCCAGGGCTGTTGATGGCCGACAGAGACCCCTTCCATCCCCCTGCACCCAGCCAGCCCCTTGGGACATCCTACACCGGGCCACCCTGCCTCCCGCATGGCCGGGGGGGGGGGGGGGGGGAGCCCGCCCCCCCCCGGCGCCCAGGGGGGGGGGGGGGGGAGCGCGGCAACGTACGGTCGAGGGCACCAGGACCTTCCAGTTTCCACCAATAAAGAGCTTGGGAGACATGGTAGAATGGGTCATAGGAGGCGGGAGGGGGGCAGGGCAGGAGGCGGGGAGGGAGGACAATGTGTTGCTGTGAAGCGGTGCTGCTCGTCGTGCCAAGCGAGCGACCCGAGGGGGGGTGCTCAAAAGCGCCTCGACGGGCGCTGCCCGGGACTTTGCCCGCCTCGTCTGTTGTCCAGGCCGCTGGCTTGCTGTCTGGGGCCCGACCGCGACACATGTTTGGTCGCGATCGGCCTCAATGGGCCGTCCCCCCCCCTCCCCCCCAATATTTTGCCCCCCTGGCTCCGGGCGCTGTCCTGGAGCGCTCCTTCTAGTCACACTGGGGCCGCGCTCGGCTCCGCAGAAAGACGGCCCCTGGTGCCGGGCAGGGCAAGGGGGGGGGAGGGGGGGTTGGTCGCACAGCGGGCGCCACGCCCCGGGCCGGCATCAGATCATTCCCATCAGCAAGTGAGTAAGCGCGCGACACACTCGCACGAGGGTGAGAACATTCGGCGAGACCGGGCCCGCCGCGGGCGTCCAGCCCCCTCTCCCGAGCATGCCGCCGGTCGCTAGCCCGGTGCGTCTGACCAGAGCCGCCCGCCGGAGGACAGCACGTCCACCGGCGTTCGCCCGCTGTGGGGGCTAATGGCACGGACTTCGGTTAAGACAAAGTGCCACCGGAAGGCCCTCTCACGGCTGCCAGCGGTCGTGTGCTTGTTCCCAGCACACGCGCGCCGCACACGCGCGGCACGGCAGGCACACCCGATCGGGCGCAAGGTGCTCGGGGGGGGGGGGGGGGGGGGGGGGGCGGCGAGGGGATCTTGCCAGTCCGCCAAAATCGCCCCCTTCCACTCGAGGCGGGGCGCCATGGTTGGGCGCCCCCCCCGGCGATGGGTCCCCCGGCCCAGCCATTTCACCCGCTCAGTGCCCTCCGCTGCCCTCCTCTCTCTCTCTCTCTCTGTCCCTCCCCTGGCCCTTTGCCCTCCCCCCCTCCCCTCCGCCTGGCTCTGTGCCCATGACACTAATGACAACGACCCCGGACGCGCCGGACCCCTGCGTGGCAGAGGATTGCATGGTCTTCGAGGCCCTGTCGGCCTTCCTGCAGGGGCAGGCAAATGCCCCCGCGCGGCTATTGGCCGCGCTGGCGGATCCGGCCGCTCCGATGGCCAGCGACGGGACCGCCTGCTCGAGGCTGGCCGCGCGTGTGTCCGGCGAGGTTCTCTGCTCGGAGCTGGCTCGACTTCGGCCACCTCCGGCCGCGGCCGCGGGCCGCTTCATTCGCCAAGTGGTCACGGCCATCGAGTCGACCCGGGCGCATGAGGTCCCGGAGGACATGTATGCCCTGTACTTCGAGCATACGATGTCCCCGGCGGCCGGAGCCGCCGGGTCCCGGGGCGACAGCATGGCCGATGACCCGCTGCATTCCGGGACCTTCCGCACGCTGCTGGTCCCCCCGGGGGCCGCCACGCCGGGGGCCTGCCCGGACTGGCTGGCCGCCACGTCCCTGCCCCGGCACCTGTCGGTCCCGGCCACCAATCGCCTGATCAGCCACGGCACCACCGGCTTGGCCCTGTGGACGGCGAGCATTGCGCTGGCGGAGCTGCTGCTCGGGGTCGGCCGGCCGGCCGGCGGCCCGGCCGCGGCCTTCCCGCTGGACATTGGGGTCCCCCCGGTGGACGCGGCCCTGGGCCCGGATGTGACCGCCGAGCAGTTGGCTGCCCTCTTCGCCAAGCCCCACTTCCTGTCCGAGCATTCGCGTGCCATGTCGGTCCCGGAGCCGGGAGCTTGGGACACCGCGGCCCTGGTGTGCCCTGACCGCCAGGCCCTCGGCCATGCCGGGCCGGCCTGGGTGGCCGGGCGCCGGGTGCTCGAGCTCGGTAGCGGCTTGGGCTTCCTCGGGCTGGCGGCCGCCCTGGCCGGGGCCGAGCATGTTCGCATGACCGACGCCCACGGGCGAGTGCTCAGTGCGCTGGACTACTCGGTCGAAATCAGTGCGTGCCACCCTGCCAAGCCATGCGCCCTCTCGCCACCGTATCCCAGGGGCTAGACATCAGCCAGGGGGCGGGGGGGGGGGGGGGGGAATCATTCTCTTCACCCCGGTCTCCCTCTCCAGCCCACCCTGACGCCCTGATGTTTCCTGATGTTCCACTCACTCCCCTCGGGTGCTCCTCCCCCTCCCGCTCCTCTTCTCTCCCTTCGCAGATGCCAAGCAGCTGCGCCCGGGCGCCCTGTCAACCGGGGTGCTGGACTGGGCGGATTTCCTTGCGGGCATCGCGCCGGCCACGACGCCCGGCGCCCTGCCGTCCATTCTCTCGCACCCGGCGACCGGCGAGTCGGCCGCCGCCACCGAGGGGCAGCACTTCGATCTCATCCTGGCGGCGGACGTCATCTTTGAGGAGTCGCTCGTGGTCTACCTGGTGGCGGCCCTGCGCCAGCTGCTGGCCGGCCGGCGGAACTTCCCCCTTGGGGCCCTGGTGGCCAACACCATGCGCCGGCCGGAAACGGTGGCCTTCTTCGTGGCATATGCCCGGGCTGCCGGGCTCCAGGTCCGGGAAATCCTGCCGGCGTCGGGCGACGGCCCGGGCGCTTCCACCCCCGGGGGGCCCTGCTGCGAGGCCATGTGCCGGTGGAGCCGGCCCGAGGCCAGCCGGGTCATCATCATGCATGTCACCGCACCGATCGAGGTGTAGTTGAGCGCACTGCCACCCCCCCCCCCTGTTACCCTTCGCTTGACCAAGGGAGGCTGACGAGGATAGACATAGATGTATATTTCACAAGGACAGTGTATGTGTGCAGGCGCGCGTGCGCGTGCAGCCTCCCTCTCGCCCTCCAGCCAGCCCTCCGGGCCGGGAGGGGATCCATGGGCCAAGCCAGCGGGCGAGGAGGGCGAAGCAGGATGGCGGGGAACCAGCCGAGCAGGCAGAGGTGTGTCAGGCCGCCGGGGCCTCGGCGCCGGTGCCCTCTGTGTCGGTTGGCGGGCCGGGCATGTGGTCCATCTGGAAGTCGCCCCCCTGGATGACCACCTTCTGGATCTGGAGAGGGCCAGCATCCGAGCCAGCCAGGATGGCACCGGCGCAGGCCATCGAGGGAACAGGGGTGGGTCAGCGAATGCAGGCAGCCGGTCCGGGGCGCGCACACCAGGCCAGTAGGACAGCCAAGCACAGAAACATGCGAAGAAAGGAAGAAGAAGAAGAAGAAGAAGAAGAGGGAAGGGCATGCAACCGCATGCAAAGGCCGCTGGCCGGGCAGGGAGAGGGACAGGCCCCGCTCGTGTGTGGCGCACCTCGTGCTTCTGGCCGGCACTCAGGAGGATGCGCTCCTCGATGGTGTCGCGGGTGATCAGCCGGTAGACGGTCACCTGCTTGGTTTGGCCCAGACGATGGACGCGGTCCATGGCCTGCTGGTCGACGGTCGGGTTCCAGTCGCTCTCGTAGAAGATGACCGTGTCGGCGGCGGTGAGGTTGATGCCGGAGTTGCCGGCACGCGTGGAGATCAAGAAGGCGAAGATGTCGTCGTTGGTCTGGAATTCACTGACCATGTCCCGGCGATCTTCAATCCGAGTGGACCCATCCAGCCGGAAGAACCGATACCCCCGGAAGACCATGAAGCGCTCCAGCAGGTCGATCATGGTGACCAGCTGGCAGAAGATCAGCACCCGGTGACGCCCGGCATACAGCTCGGCCAGCAGCTGGTCCAGCAGCCGGAGCTTGCCACTGTCGTGGATGAGATCCTCCACGCTGGGGCACTGGACGAAGGAGAGGGACTGCGTCGGGCCGAAGGCCCGGCGCCGGTCGCCGATCAGGCCACCGGTGGCAAGGCCACGCGCCCCGGGCGAGGCCCATGCATCGGCCGCGTGCTGGTCCAGCCCGAGGCAGTCGGTGGCCACGGCGCGATAGTGCGCCTGGGCCGCCGCCTCCGACCCGGGCAGAGGCCCATTGTCTGGCTGCTGCAGGGCCCCCGGCGGGAGTCGAGCCAGGCTGAACCAGGCCGAGGCCGGCCCGGCCGGAGAGACCGGCGCCCCACGACGAAAGTGTCCCCCGGTGGCGGCCAGCCCGCCGGTGGCGGCGCTCAGCCCCTCGGCCGGGCCGCCGGGATGTACGACCACCGCCCGGGAGAGGGCAGCCGCGTGCGGCCGCGTCGGCGGCATCGACGCCGCCAGTGCCGCATCCAGGCCCAGGCAAGCGCCCAGGGCCCGGCGCCGGTCGGGCTCCAGGTCGGCCGCCCGGCCGGGCTGCCGGATGGCCGGCACCACCGCACACACGGCCGCCGCCGGCTGGTAAAGCCCCTCGAAGCGCCCGTGGTAAGTGTACTCCTGGTGCAGGAGGTCCGCCGACACGGAGCACAGGGCCGCCAGGGCGGGCGACGAGGTGATCGCCCGCTCCGACAGGCCGGCCGTCCGGGGACCAGTTCGCGTGGCTTCGGCGGCCCCCGTTACATTGAGCATGGACAGCAGGTGCCGGGGGAGGGCCGGGGCCTCGCCAGCGGGGGCCCCATCCATGGTCTCGGCATCGGCCATGAGGTGGTCGGCCTGGCTGGTCTCCAGCACAAGCAGGGCATCGGAGGAGGGCGCGCCATCTGGGGAGGCCGTGTGGGTCGCCATTGGGGAGGCCTGGTGCTCATGGTACCAGGCAAGAGTGGCGCGCTCCTGTGTGTGTGTGCGTGTGTGCGTGTGTGTGTGTGTGTGTGTGTGCACAAATCCCGAGGCGTGGCACAGTGAACACGAGAGAGAAAAGCACCGTGAGAAAAGGCCCGAGGGGGGCGATGCGCGCAAAAGGGCATGTGTGCGTGTGCGTGCTCGCGCGGGGGCCCGCCAGAGTGCCAAAGGGCACAGACATACCTCATGCGTGGCAAGCAGATGGAGGAAGCGCTCGAAGAGGCTGGACTCGGCCAGACGCTGGACCTCGGCCGGGGAGTACCCGCCAGACAAGCGAGCCAACGACCCAACGCCAGCTGTCAGGTATGCAGCGCGCCCGGCCGCCTCCGGGGCCGGCGGGGACCAAATGCACACGGCCGGTGCCGCGACATTGGCCAATGTGCGAGGCGACCGCAGGAAGAAGCCCCGCGACACGATCAGGTGCCCCGGGCGGATGTGCCCCGGCGGCAGGGAGTCCATGGCGTCCTGCTGCGTGGGCGACCGATACGGGCAGAGGGGGCCGCTGCTGGGCGGGGCGTCGGCATACTGCCCCCCGAAGGCAGGCCCAATGCCCCCGGCCACCAGCTGCCCCGCATCGCCCGACACAAGGACACATCCCGGCAGGGCCAGACTGATGGGGCCTGACACCGGCGGAGCCGGCAGGCCGAAGTCCACCACCAGCCCCGGCGGCATGGGCCCCGGGGCCAGGTCGATGGCGTACTGCCGCGGCAGCGGGATCATGCGGTAGGGCTCGGATTCCTCGCGCGAGTCCAACAGGTCCGGGTGGCAACTCACCTTCCGGCACTGCATGACCAGGTTCAGCAGGTAGTTGGCCCCGCTGCCAGAGCCCCCGGCCGTGGGGTTCAGCCCCGAGTCATCGTCATTGAAGGCCGACTGGGCGGCCGACAGCGAAGACGACGACTGCAGCAGGTCCGAGATGGACAGCTTGTCCTGGAGGCCCTGGTACAGGCGCCGCTGCCGGGGAGTCATCACGCAGTACCGGTCGACCATGATCTGTGGGCCACGGAAAGGAACCCAATCGCGCATCACCAGGGGTTAGTACGGGCGATCGCATGCGCGGGTGCATGGCCCTGCGCCTGGTGCGAAGAGCAAAGCCCGGGCCACCGGCCGAGTGGCCCAGAAGAGACTTCCACATAGGAGAGAGAGAGAGAGAGGAAGAGAGGGGGAGGGGGAGGGAAACCACGAGCGCACCTTCTCGCCGAGCTCATTCTCCACGTCGCGCTTGACACGACGTAACATAAAGGGCTTGAGAATCATGTGCAGGCGGGCCAGCTGGTGCGCGTTGACCGAGTCCCCACGCTCGCCGGCATTCCCCTCGATGTCCTTGCTGAACCACTCGCTGAACTCCTTGTGCGAGTCGAACATCAGCGGCATGATGAAGTGCAGCAGGGCCCAGAGCTCCTGCATGGAGTTCTGGATGGGCGTGCCGGTGAGTAGCAGACGATTCCGGCAATTGAACTTGAGCAGGGTGTTCCACCGGAGAGACGTCGAGCTAAGACATGTACACCCGTCAGCCGGGGGAATTGGTCAGTCACGGCACGCATAGTGGTAGGGGCGGAGGGAGGGGCGGAGGGAGGGGCGGAGGGGCGGAGGGGCGCAGGGGCGCAGGGGGCGCAGGGGCGCAGGGGGCGGAGGGGCGCGGGGCGGAGGGGCGCGGGGGCGGAGGGACTGCAAGAAGCAGGAGGACCAGGGAGGGCTCGGGCCACGGAGGAAGCCGGCGAAGGCCGCAACAGGGCCCGCACGGCCGGACGCACCTCTTCACAGCCTGAGCCTCATCCAGGATCATGTATTCCCAGCGGATGGGCCGGAGGAACTGCTCATCCATGACGGCGATCTGGTAGCTGGTGACAATCACATGGAAGGGGGAGTCCCGCCGACCGAGGACGTCGATGCCGGAGAAAACCCCCCGACGCCGGGGCCCGGAGGGATCTTGCCCGACCCCCTGCCAATACCGGCGCAGGGTGGCCCGATCCCCACGGTCGCCCCAGTAGGGGAGGACCCGGAAGTCCGGGCAGAAGTTGTGCAGCTCATTGGTCCAATTGTGCAGCGTCGTGGCCGGGGTTACCACGATAAATGGGCCCCACACCTGATGCTTCTCGGCCAGGTGCGCCAGGACCGAAATGGACTGGACCGTCTTGCCGAGGCCCATCTCATCGGCCAGGATGCCGTTGATGCCCTGCTCGTGGAGGTTATACAGCCACGAGAGGCCTGGGGTTGGACAGTCCGGTGGCGATTGCGGCAACAGACCGGCATGGCGACAAATGCGCACAGAAGAGAGAGAGAGAGAGAGAGAGGGGGGGGGGGGGACAGGGAGGTTAGAGATGGGCATCCACCAGGAGCAAGCGCACCAGACGCGAGAACAGGCCGGATGCAGTGACAGTCACCAGCACGCACCCTTCAGCTGGTAGCTCTTCAGTCGACATGTCAGCATCTTGGGCTGGGTGACTGACGGCGCCTCGGTCAGGGTAGACGGCGCGGTCAGATCGAAGCCAAGCTGGTCGAACTGCTCCTGGGCATTGGAGCCACCAGCGGCAGCAGCAGCGGCGCCGGCGCCGGCACCGGCCACACGGCCGGACGTGCTATCGAAGGCCCGCACCCGGCTGTGGTGCGCGGCGACATGCGACATGGCCCCCTGGGCGGCGGCCCGCTGCAAGTCCGACTCGTCCATGGTCGAGAAGTCCATGCTTTCGATGTCCACCCCGCCGAGGGCCGGGCTCGGGGCGTCCGAGGCGTCCGGCCCGGGGGTCGCACCGGCCTCGGCCACTTTGGTGCTCTTGCGCTGGATGAAGTGTGCGTAGAGCTCGGTCTGTGTGATGAGGAAGTTCAGCTTGTTGCGCTGGCGGCGCTCCTCGCGAGCCTGTCGCCCATGCATCAGCAAGGCGGATGGAAGGAGCCGAGGAGAGGGAGGGAGAGGGAGGGAGAGGGAGGGAGACGAAGAAGAGCATGGGCGAAGAGAAGAGTGACGGAAAACAAAGGAAGAGACAAGGGTCACAGGTCAATGGCGAGGGCGAGGTGGACGTGGGACTCGAGACGCGCGGCTTTGGCCGGAGGCGGGGAAGGCGAAAGAAACCGACTGCCCAGAGCACGCACCTCCTCTTCTAGACGCAGGCGCTCGGCCTCTTCACGCTCATAGCGGCGACGTGCTTCGCGCTCCTCGCGCTCATGCCGGCGCCAGTGGGCCAGGACATCGCGCGCCAGGCGCCGGGAGGTAGTGACCAGCGTGCGGCCACGTCGGGGCGCCACCCCGGTGGCGACGCCCACCAGCGGGCTTCCGGCTGCCAGAGACACGGGTAGGAGCCCGCCACCGGCGGCGGCCGCCGCGGCCGCCGACGATATGGCCGCCGGAGCCGGGTCCACCTGACTCACACCGGCCAGCAGCGGCGCCGGCAGGCCCAGCGACAGGGATGAGCCCGAGGAGAAGCCCGTCCGGCGGACCTCGCGCACGCATACCAGCGCCACGCGCCGGGCATTTAGACGCCGGTGCAAATGCGACGACGAGTGAACCCGCGCGGCTCTGAGCACGTCATTCCGCACGAAGGCCGACCATTGGCGCTCGGCACGGCGGCGCTCGATCGCGGCCATTTGCTCCGGGTCGTTCGGATCCGGGGAGGGGGAGCGTTCACTGGCGAGAGAGATCCACCGCCCAGAGGGGGAGAGGAGAAGGAGGAGAGAGAGGGAAAGGGAGAGAGAGAGGGAGGGAGGGAGGGAGAGGGAGGGGGGTTAGGGAACCGGTGATGCTTGATGGACGTGCGTGTGCGTGTGCAGGAGGGAAGAAGCCAAAGAGAAGGAGAACGGCAAAAACAAGCCCCCCCCCCCCACCCCACACACACACACACAGCTGGCAGGCCACACGTACAGAGAAGAGGAGCTGGCCGAGACGGCCGGCCCGCCGGCGCCGGTCCCCTGGGTCGCGGACTTCAGCACGGCGAAGGCATCGCGGATGACACGGCCGCCGGGGCCGCCACCGGCGGCCCCAGCCGAGTCCTTGAGGCGCTTGGCCGAGCCGGGGCCGGAGGCCGACACACCGCCGGATGCACCGGCCGCCGCGGCCCCCGAAGCCGAGGACTTGGGCTTCTTGGCCGGCCGGGCCGTCGGATCGGCCGGCCCGGCCAGGCTGCTGGCCCCACCGGGACGGGGGCGCTTGTCGCCGGGACCATCGGACTCCGAGCCGGAGGACACGCTCGAGGCGGCAGACCCCTCCTCGAGGTCTGACCCGAACAGGTCCACCGATCCGAGCACAAGCTCGGAATCACTCAGATCACCGGCTAAGGAAAAAGAAATCGGCGCCGGGGGCTCATCAGTCGAGGCCGGACCGGCGGCCGGTGCCGATGTGGTGCCGGCTGACGCCGTGCCCGACGCCGCAGAGGTATCCTCCCCGGGGGCCAGCTCCGGGGTGGCCTCCTGCTCGGTGCCCGGCCGGGGCCCAGGGGCCGGGAGGGCGGCGGGCCCGGCGGGCCCGGCGGGCCCAGCGCCGCCGGGGCCCGGAGCCCGCGCCGCCGCCAGCAGCCGGTCATACTCGGCCCAGTCGTCATCGGACTCGAGCTCGGCCGTCCGCCGGGACGCGGCCACGGCCACGCCATCGGCCATGTCGCAGAAGAGCGTGCGCGGGGCCGGCTGCCCGGGGCCAGCCGGGCGCGGCCCCGTGCCACGGGTCAGGAACCCCGCTTCCGAGGGCAGGAGCCCCGGGCGCAAGACCAGCGGCCGGCTGCGCGCGGCCCGGCGCTGCGACAGGGCCTCGGTGATGACCGTCTCGAAGGCCGGCCGGTGGGAAGCCATGAACAGGCGATCGGCGGCCAGGCTGGCCCGGCGAAGTTCCCGGGCCCGAGCCAGTCGCCGGATGACATACCGCTGGCTGGACAGGGCACACGCGGGCCGGTAGCCGGCCGTGAGCATGTGCTCGGGCGGGCCATCGGCCGCCGTCGGGGCATAATGCCGGCCAAGGGGCCGCGAAGCCTGGGCCATCACCGCCAACAGCGGATCGGCCAGCGCCTCGGTGGCCACATCCAGCCACACATCCTCCCGGTAGCCGACCGGCCAGTGGGTGAACAGCTCGAACGAGTCGCGCGGCAGGCCCGGCCGCACGGACATCCCATAGCTGAAGGGGGCCCCGAGGGGGTCCCCCGGGGCGCCGGCCGTGTGGCGCTGCACCTCGGCCAGGGTGGTCACCGCGCGCAGCCAGCCGGTCTCGCGGTCGGCCTGCCGGTGGTTTAGGTGCTGCTCCAGCAGCTGGTCCACCAGCAGGGCCTGCGAGGCCTTGGCCGTGCGCAGGCGGCTGGCCAGCAGGGGCCGCGCCGAGCCACCGATGCCCGACCCCGGCCCGGGGCCGGCCGATCCGGAATCCCCGCTGGCCAGGATGGCCCAGCCCCGGTCGGCGGCCAGGTCGCCCTCGGCGTCGAACACCAAATTGAAGGTGACCGCGCGCGCGCGCATGGCCCGCTGCGAGCGCAAGCGCACGGCGGTGCTCAGGGCATCGGCCACCGGCGGCCCGGGGGCCGGGGAGGCCGCCGGGCTGGGCCCAGGAGAAAAGGCCCCGGGGGCCCCGGGGCCCGGGCCACCGGAGGACTGCGAAGAGGGGGCCTGTGCCCGCACGGGTGCGGGCGGCTGCGGCGAGGGCGACGCCGAGGCCGGGGCCCCCCCGGTCGGGCGAGTCTTGGTCGAAAGGAAGCTCAGCGCGCTGGTCAGCAGGGACCCGGCGCCGGCGGCTCCGAGTGGCGACCCGCTGGAGGCGGATGGCGGGCCAAACAGCCCGCCAGCACTGCTCAGCGGGGATCCGGCCAGGGAGCTGGGTGTACTGCGGACGGGCGGCCAGGAGGGGCGACAAAAGAATCCGGGGGCGTAAGTGGCGGCCATGAATCCGGGGCATGGTATGCGTGTGTGTGTGTGTGTGTGTGTATGTGTGTGTGTGTGTGTATGGAGACAGAGGCAGTGGTGACGGCGTATCGGGGCGCACGATAGGGGCGGGGCT